TGGCGTAGAAAACTAGAACATCAGAATATAGAGCAAATCAGGCAGGTACAGAGGGAAGAATCAACCATCAGTTTCAAAATTATGCACAACAAATGTGCCAATCTATGCTGCCCTGTACGTTTATATAGTAAATGTCTTTAAGAAGCACACACATAAGAAAAAATACTGAGAGCACAGGAAATACTGCACCTCAGCAGTATTCTGAATAAACAAATCCACACTGACCACTTTTGAGCTGTTGTGGCACAGTGGTTAGAGTATTGCAGGCTGCTTCTGCTGACTGCCGACTTCCAGAAGTTTGGCAGTTCAGTTCTTAGCAGGTTCAAGGTTGATTCAGCCTTCCATCCTTCCAAAGTCAGTAAAGGAGGACTCAGATTGTTGGGGGCAAGAGGCTGACTCTGTAAACTGCATAGAGAGGGCTATAAAGCTCTGTGAGATGGTATATAAGTCTAAGTGGTACTGCTATTAGTTTAAATAGGAATCTTTTAAATAAAAAAATAAATTTTTAAAGAAAGATAATTTATATTTTGATGATTGAATTTTGAGTGAACAGATATCTAATTATTTAAAGGAAAATGGGTTTATTCGTAAGAGATCTGTTCCCTTTGCACTAGAACAAAATGGATCAACAGAAAGCATCATTCTCTATAGGTGTATGCTATTTGACTCAGGTCTGGATCAGAAATGGCAGGAAAAAACTATTCCTGCCATCTTCCAAACTGGCTAGTCATTACAGCCAATTCTTATTAGCTATGGTTCAACAGAAAATTTGGTTTAAATCATACTAGAATGTCTGGATTTACAGTATGGGGTTATATTTCTAAAGAGAAAAGAAGGAAACAAGTATAGTTGAACAAGGATGGGTATACAGCTGACACAAAAAAAATATGGGGATCCTAAATCTGTCCACTGGAAGGCTTAAAATAATAAATCTGACTTACTTTAATGAGAAAATAAAGCCAATTGGGAATTTGAACTTAGCAGCCACTAGTATGCAACATTACCACAGTTGTCCCTTGCCTGTGGTTTCAAACCAGCACTATACCCTGTTTCAGCACTAGTTGAGATGCAGTTCAGAGACACCTAACAAAGAGACATGCCTCTCTTCCCAGATAAACTCTTCCTTATGGTCAAAAGAAAAGAAATGAAGAGATAAAGACTTGAGCGGTATTTAAAAACTACCAATTCATGAAATTGGAAACTGGAAAGCAAGTGAAGAGATGGGATCTCTTCCCAAAAATAACATTTGGCAACTAGATAAATAACATTTAGTAACAAGAGCCAGTTTAGTCGAATGGTTAAGGCACCTGTCTAGAAACCAGGAGACCACAAGTTCTTATCTTGTCTTAGCATGAAAGCTGGCTGGGTGCTTTTGAGCCAGTTACTTTCTCTCAATTCAATCCACCTTACATTGTTGTTGTTGTTGTGGGGAAAATTGGAGGAGGAAGAAGTACTATGTAGAATAGAATAACAGAGTTGGAAGGGGCCTTATAGGTCATCTAGCCCAACCCCCACCCAAGCAGGAAATCCCACACCATTTATGACAAATGGCAGTCCAGTCTCTTCTTGAAAGCTTCCAGTGATGAAGCTCCCATAACTTCTAAAGGCAAATTGTTCCATTGGTTGATCGTTCTCACTGTCAGAAAATTTCTCCTTATTTCTAGGTTGACTCTCATTATTCCTTATCTGGCATTCAGCTGATTTTGTCGGTAGTACCTCTTATGTAGGGCAGAACAGCTGTTCCATAGGTCTGTTCATCTTCTAAGTCTCCATTATGTCTCAGTGTGTTTTTGTGGATCAGGCCTATGATTTTGCTTTTGTGAAAGCCATTGGCTGTCAGTACTTTAGTCAGGATGCATAGTTCAGTCTTTTTTAGTCAGGGTGCATAGTTCAGTCTTTGAACAGCCAACAGCTTCCACAAAAGCAAAATCACAGGGCTGATCCACAAAAACACACTGAGACATAATGGAGACCTAGAAGATGAACAGACCTATGGAACAGCTGTTCTGCCCTACATAAGAGATACTACAGACAAAATCAGTAAGATACTACAGAGGCATCACATAAAGACTGCCTTCAAAACAGACAGAAATATAGCAGCCATCCTAAAAAACCCCAAAGATAAAATTGACCTGGAAAACCAAGGCATATATGAAGTCCCCTGCGCATCATGCCCTGCCACATACATTGGACAGACCAATAGAAGAATAAGTACCCGCCTGGATGAACACAAAAATGCAGTAAAAAAGCTGGAACACACTTCCTCATTAGTCCAACACATGAAAGCCACAGGTCATAGCATCGACTTCAATGGCACCAAAACCCTAGCCACTATAGAAAACCCCAACTACAGAATCATCAGTGAAGCCATAGAGATTGAAAAAAGACCTGAAAGCATGAATAGAAGAGATGACTCCACCAGACTGTCAATTATCTGGAAGCCTGTACTCACAAACAAAAAAAATCTCCACACCACAAGCCAAGCAAACACCTGGGCACAAACAGACACCCCCCCCGATACCTCCAGCTCAAACACACCCCAACCAGGCACCCAGATGAAACCTAGCTTCCTAATAAATGATAGCTGTCCATTTACTCAAAGCCAAGCCACACTAAAAGCCTCCAATACAGGAAACACAATGTTGCCAGCCAATCAAGACAAAAAAACGCTACAAAACAGACAGAAGATATTAGAAACACCAATCAAGCAGAACATAGCAAACTCCAAGACTAATAAACACAGACCAAGACTCCCAACCAATCAGGATGAAGAAAAAAACCATACTAACACAGCACAAGGCTAGCACCAAATTTAAAACAGAAACGGCTGTGAAAGCCTGACTCACAGACAAACACAATACAGAAGCCTGATGATGGCAGATGAGATTCTGCTGAAATGTCGCTACAACTTTAAAAGCACAACTATAATGACGTGGGAAAATACCCAAGCAAAGCTGAATACCATACATATAGATACCCGCGAAAACTTAAGAAAACAAACAAATATATATATATATGGTTTTTCTTGCCTAAAAGTTAGACTTTACTTTTCTTTACATTGAATTTCATTTTGTTAATTAGGGCTCAGTGTTCAAGTGTTGTCAAGATCCATCTGGATCTTGAGCCTATCGTCTAGGTAGGTATGTTGGCTATTCCTGCCAGCTTCGTATCATCTGCAAATTTGATAAGTTCCCCTTCTATTCCCTCATCTAAGTCTAATGTACTAATTACATCTAATGTAATTTGCTGTATTGAGTTATCTATAAAATTAATAAAGGCAAGATAAAAATAAAATAAAAAATACCTGCCAGTACAAAGGCAATATAATGCAGATGAGGCTTCAAGACAAAATGTAGTGGAAATGGAGAAGTATACCACTACAGAGCCAGATGGTTGGACTAGGAATAATCCCAAACTAGGGAGAGGACTATGATGAACTTTGCCTCTATTATGAAGCATACTTTATTTTTTAAAATTTATTTCTCAAATTTAGATATCTCCCATCTCGCTCACAGTGACTTTAGTCAGAATACTCTTAGGTATAGCAGCAGGAGAAGCACCGATGGTGACCAACTGGGTCTAAAGACTTATAGGGAGAATGAGAGATTCACATGGAACAGCCCCCAGAATTCTTTCAGAACCTGATGAGCAAACTACAGAAAAGCTTTTATGAACTAAAGCAAGCTATCAATGCCTGAAATGAGAAACTAAACCAAATGTTGTTTAAGGAAGGATTTGAACAAAGCAAGGCTGATCCTGCCTAAACTTGAGATTTATAAATAATAAAGAGACCTTTATCCTGAATTAAGGTTGATAGCTTGAAAAAGATGAGTAAGAAAAATCTCTTCAGCCAGGAACAGAAAATTATGGTCATTTAAAAATGTCTATGGCTGAGTGACCAATTCAGCCAACAACCTATGGAGGATAAATTTCTAAAGGAAGAAGAGCAAATCGTATCTGGTAGCAGTAAATATAGGAGGCTCTTGGAAAGCTTATATATGTCAACAATAACTAGACCAAATTTGGGTACATCAGTGGAAGTTACATATAAGAGTACAGATAGTTCTTGACACTACAAAATGGATATACAAGGTCAAGGATTTCAGTACTATCCTGTAAAACAAATTATTGCTAATGTGCCAACCAAGCCACAACCATACAAGTCACACAAACAAGATAGAAATAGTGAGTGTGTGTCCCTGATGATGATTAGGGGTGTTGGAGATTGCATCATCGCTTTCCATCTATGAACCTTTGGACCACTAAAGTTAATGCCAAGAGATACGGTAGTGCAAGAATATTAATAATTCAAATGCGTTCACAAACCTTTAAGCACCTCTGTGGGTAAGGGGAAGGCTTCTTTCATTGTCTGTCTGTCTGTCTGTCATCCAGCCTATAGGTAGTAAAATAAGACTCTTATGTTTAAGAAAGTAGAGAACTACTTGTTTTCTCCCTCTTGTCTCTCTCTCTCTTGGAGCCATTGTTTAAATAGAAGAGAGATATAGATAGAAATGCTATCCTGCATATATATTAATATGATGAAAGCATATTAGTATTTATTTATAGCTGTTCTTTGAATGGGACCTGCTGCTAATTACTTGGGACTCTTAGAGTTCAGAAGCACATCCTGAACTCCTATTAAAGAGTCCCAACTGAGTTCAAATCTCCCAATGAAATATACAGTATAAAGAAATATGCTATGTTGGTCTAATACATTTAAGCAATGAATTCAAGTAATTTGTCCATGTCCTTTATTATCAAGAACTTGTGCATAACAGTCCTATTCTGTATTCCCATTGTGTCCTTTAGCACATGAAATACAACATTATCAATGCTTTTATAAAATTGATTAATTAGAAAACTTTAAATTGCAGAGAACACAGGTTGCATCAGAAGCGCCTATTGTGCAATATGTATTTGATACCTATTTGTCTTGGGGATCATATCAACAATTCATGTGTCTCCTAACAGCCAGTATTCATGAAGTCTTTTTGTTGCAGGTCAGGTGAAAATGAGCTGCAAATAGAAGACATAGCTCAGTATATTTATTCTGAAGGTAAGTTGCTTGCTGGATCTTCTTTGTCTGGCATTTGAGGGCAAAGAAGAAAATGTTGCTGTAATCAATATGGATGAAGTAAATAATTCCATTGACCATTTAAAGCTGTCTGCATTGGGACAGGATGCTGGACTACATGAAACCTTTGGGTTAGATCCAGGAGAGCTTTTATTTTGTTATAACTACTAAACTGGGAAAATATCTTCAATTCCCCTTTTGGAGTTTTTAAAAATTACGAATGTTACAACAGATCCTCCATTCGCAGTTCCATTCAAATTTACATGTGTACAGATGGATGCCAGAATGTAATTTTGCCAGCGGCATGGAATGCACTCAGCAGATACATAAAAAAAAAACAGAAAGAGGAACAGTTAAAGTTAAACTGGGATTACTAGTTCAACGACCATTGAATTTAATAATTAATATAGACATCTACCAGCCACAAAAGAGAAAACACTTGGAGACTAGAAAAGCAGCATTTGCCAAACATGGAAAGAATGTGTATTTAAACTGTATATGCCTTGGATTACAAACATGATCAATAAAAATCAAATATTAGATGATTAAAAACCTGCTTAAAACTCATTAAAACATATGAAAAACTTAAAAGAAACATATCGAGACTTTTTCAGAACTGTAACAATGCAAGGAACAGTCAGCTCTAACTGCAAGTAATTCCAGAGACTGGGCTGCACTGTGGAAAAGCAAAATTAGCTGTAAGATAATCTTATATTGGCATGTTAAGCATATCAATATTGGAATCTAAAGAAGTCAAGTCTTTGGATCAATAAAACCTCAATTTTGTCCAATTTTAGCTTCAGTTTGTTTTTCCATAACCAGTTATTTACACTTTAGAGATCGGCACGGGGAGGATCTTGAGACATCCAAATTCAGCATGCAATAAAAGGACAAATATAGCTAAATATCATCAGTATATTAGCAGCAGATAGTCCTGAAACCACATATGATCATTTCTTATGATTTCTTAGACAGATCAATTAATGTGAGATCAGATTTTCTGGGCCATTTTTCAGAGGGGCAGACAGAATTTTCCCAATGTAATTTTTTGGTAGCAAAGCCATTTCAGAGGGATGCCAAATAAGTCAAGTATTGGTGAAAATGCTGGACTGTGGGGAAGAATTGGAAACATGTAGAGAAAGAAAAGAGAAGAAATGAAGCATAAATTGTATGTAGTTCTGTGTGTTTTATATATATTCTAGAGTACAGGAAAGATAATGACTCAATTTTCATAGTAGTCAAGAAGTTAAGAGGATGTCATTGGCCAGGTTGCTATAATCCCCTAGGTTTTAGTTATAAATTCAAAGCAAGTGAATAGCCAATATCCAGGAAAAGACAATACTTGGACTCCTGTATTTTCAATAAGCCAGCATGAGGAAACCGAAATATGGTTTTGGTAAAGCAGACAACTTCACATAAATGTAGTTTTGGTACAGGGACAACTTCACATAAATGCAGTTTTGTATTCTGATGCCTGGTGCAAGTCATGGCATTTCTGTGATTAACCTTGTCCTCCAAATTAATCACTCGGCTGTATCTTCCTCCAAGATACCAAAAGTGGAAGAAGGTTCCACAGTTCATAGTTTGCCCTTTTTCATTTGTGGAACTTCATAGACTTAATGCTTTCTCTCTATACAAAAGAAAGAAAAGAAATAGGTTGTCTAGTGGTTAAGGCACCAGACTAGAAAATGGGAGACCGTGAGTTCAAGTCCCATCTTAGCCATGAAAGTCTGACTTTGGGCCAGCCACTCTCTCTCAATCGAACCCACCCCACAGGGTTGTTGTTCCAGAGAAAATAGAAGGAAGGTGTGTCTCATCCTGTAAATATTGGCTAGGCAACAGAACGGAGGTAGTTCTAGCAAAAGATTGCAAGGAATTATTACAGAGTTCAAGCACAATTAAGGCTGCATGAAATCCTACAAATGTTTTGGTTATAGTGCAACAACATTACAGGAATTTGATTGTTACATTTTAAAAATTCTCAGTTGTAATAATCTCAGTTGTAATAATGGCAGGCAAACTGCCTGCATATCATTATAGTAAATTGGAAGTAATTTGTAGGTACAATTGTAGCCAATTGCTAAGACTGAAAAAGCAACTTTGCCTCGAAGAGAAACTTAGATTTCTCTTTCTTGAAACTTATTTCTCTCCTTCCTCTTTTCTCTGACCTTGTCTATCAAGGTGAGCAACTAGAAACAAGGGTATCAGCAGAAAAGTATGCAGCAATTGGGATCAGCAATTCAAAAGATGGTGGTGAGCTTAAGAGTTCCCACAATACGTTTCACAGTCCTTGATGAGTGAAGCTGTTCTTCAGATTGTTGTAATGAGAAACCTTATTGTAGTTTAATAATTAACACATTTCTGGGGGAACAAATCACATAAGCAATTCTTTTGAATTGTTTTTTTCTATGGTTTATTTTATTGTTGAAATCAAATGATTTTCAGTTTTATTTTTTTATTTTTTTTTAATTAAACTGAAAACTGTATCTTGTCAATGGAAAATGAAAAGTAATTTCATAGTCAAAATTTTCCTCTATTATATCTTGATGGCTTGACAGACTACCCAAAAGTACAATAAACTTGAACAATCAAGTAAGGTATTTCTGCATCCTAGAACTACGTTTAATATTGTGTTTTCTAAACTTGAATATTTTCATTTTATATCAGCTTGGATTCAAAGTCCTTCTGCAGTGATACATATTTTAAAGATCTATATCTATATTCCCCGAGACCCTTTCAGGGGTATATGAAATCAAAATTATTTGTTGAAAAATAATATATTAAAATTCCATTAAAATCATGAGAAGTGACAGTGGCAGTAGATGCATTAATTTTAATTTTTAATAAAAAGTATTCCTTGACTTACAACCATTTGTTTAGTGACTGTTTGAAGTTGCAATGGCACTGAAAAAAGTTACTTATGACTGTTTTTCACATTTACAACTGTTGCAACATCCCTATGGTCCCATGATCAAAATTTGGAAGCTTGGCAAGTGGCATGTATTTATGGCGATTGCACTATCCTGGGGTCACGTGATCACCTTTTGTGACCTTTTGACAAGCAAAATAAGTGGTGAAGCCAGATTCACTTAACAACTACAGTGATTCACTTAATTAGGGCAAGAAAAGTCATAAAATGTGTTAAAATTCACTTAGCAACTGTCTGGCATAGCAACAAATTTGGGGGCTCAATTGTGGTTGTAAGTCAAGGACTACTTCTGTGATAAATATCAATAAATATAAGCCATAGAAACAAAAACTTACATAAAATTTAAAAGTAGGACGGAGTTCTGAAAGAAAACAGTTTGAGAAAGCCTGCTTTACATTATGATATGAATAAGAAGAAACAATGAATTGGGGGTATTTCTGCTAACTGAGTCCTGAGATTTGTTAGTAAAATTGGTGCTTATGCAATCATTATACAAGTTCAATGCTGACTGTAGAGGTTTCTAAAAGTATGTTTAAAATATGTATAAACTAAGATTATTAAGAAATTGGATGTCCAGGATCCCATTCTGAGCTCACAGAAGTACAAAATACTGATTCTACCCAGCAGTTCTGAGTAGATGACTTGCAAATAAATAGTCCTCCATATTGAATGCTGATTCTGTACTTTCTCTCCCTGTTATCTCCATACATTTCCTCTGTCTTTCTCTCATCACAGAAACAAGTGTTGAAGGAAATCTATCCAAGGAATTTCCAAACTCTTCTGTGACTCAGCCTTCAACTCCAATAAAACAGGTAAAGAGCAACAAAGTCAAGAGTGGCCTGACTTTGCCACACTGATTCTTCATAGACATCAACATATATTTGTGTAGCACATAAGAGTAAAGATAGTCTTCAGGTTATGATAATAATTGGGAACAGAATTTCCATTGCTAAGCAATATAGTCGTAAAGCTCGTTGTCTGCATCGCTTAACAATGACTGTCCCAGTGGCCATCATAGCCTCCAGATCATGTGGGTCGTTAAAAGGTAAGTGGCAAGAGTCCCAGGCAAGGAGCAGGGTGAGTGGGTAGGTGGGTTCTGCAGAGGGGGCGATGCTGTGGGGAGATGCTACAGGGCATGGGCCAGCTGGAGAAGGATGCAGGCAGATTGGCAGGGAGAGAACTTCTTAATGTGGGCAAGCTGCAGGAGCCAAAGGCCAGTGCTTTTGAATGCAGGCAGGTTGGCGGGGGCTGTGGGCAGGAAATTCTGAGCACAAATGGGACAGCAGGGAGTACAGACAGGCACTACAGGGCATAAGTGGGATGGTGGGGGCCACCACAGAGCAGGTACTACAGAATAAGGTTGTAAATGGTGATCACATGACTGCAGCTCGTTCTGACATCATAATTGCAAGAATGGCATCCAGATACCCGAATCACAATCATATGACCATGGGGATCCTGCAAAGGCCACAATTTCATAAACTGATTGTAAATCCATCTGGTATATTTTTCAACAGCCACTGAATAAGTAGTGGCCATAAATTGAGGGCAACCCGTATACTTTGTGCAATATTTTAGGTAATAATTATGCTAATGTACAAATGATACATAATATACTTAATGACAATATATGAGGAATAATAAATCATGCAGACATAAATAGCAAAGAGCATTCAGTTATATTTTAAACACACACACACATATATATATACATATTCATATTCTTATATATATTTCATATTCTCCCATGAGCTGTTCAGAGCATCCAGTAGTGGGAGGTGATTCAGTCTCTGTAAAGGCTGGTCCTAATTTGTGGGATGCTCCTCCTCCTCCACGGGACTCCTCACAAGTGTCCCCCAGTTTTGGCTCAGCTTCATTGAGAATAGGCAGTGCTTTTATTCCTTCCTTGGCCGAAACAGGAGAAAACAGTTAATTCAGGTTTGAAAATAGCCCAATCTATCTTTCAAATCCCCCAAACATTCGACAGCTGACAGAGCTTCCATCACCTGTTATCTGGCCAATGGAGCCCGTCTTATTATTGGGGAGCGCTCCCGACAACCCCGGGGTGGTTGGAGACACCGGCCTCGAATCGTGCTTCTCCTATCTACCCGATTTAGCTTCTGCAGCATTGTTCAAATGGCCCGAGGCTAGATTAACTCTCCTCTCAGAAGACACCGTTTTGGGGTGGGGACATAAGCATCCATTTGTGCCCTTCCTCACCATCCTAGTTGGTTGAGGGAAGCCGTCTGAGGCATTTCCCTTGCACAGCGGGAGATTGCTGCTGGTCTGCATGCGCCAAAAGTAAATGGTCTGGCGGCATTGTTTTTCCCTTGATAAATAAACCAGGTGGCAGCGCTGAGCTCCAAATTCTTTGCAGGCTGTGAGAAGCATTGTTCCCCTTTAGAAGTTTCTGCTTAAGGAACCCAGGGAAATTCAGAACCATCGTTTGTCTGCCTTTGGGGGGTTTTCTGTGCAACAAAGATTGTTGGCCCAACCCTCACAGCCCATCTGATCCAGCAGCACAACAGTGAGCACCAAGGCTTAAGTCCGCCTGTGCAGGGAAGCTGTTGCAGGCCACTGAATTCTCAGTTTTTTTATTTCATTCTGGCCTGATAGATGTCTTTAATTTGGCTAATCTGGCAATTTAATTAATCAGCTGCATTATTGGCACAATTAACCATATTCATCATCATCATCATCATCATCATAACAACAACAACAACAACAATACAAATCATATTATTACAAAAAAGGGGGAGTAGTGTTGCCAGGGTCCCCTGTCCATTCCTGGAACAAGTCCCTGGGCATGCCTACCGCCCAAATATTACAGCCTCCACTAATGGGCATACTGTACTATTTTCAATAACAATGGCAAGTGGCAATAGTTCCCGAGCATCAACCTCAAAGGCTATGTCTAAATCCCAGAGCAAGTCAAAACAGCCCAAGGGAACTTCCAAAGCTGCGGAAAAAGATGCCAAGGGGCGCCAAAATGAAAAGCACATGAAAAAGTGCACATGAGAGGCTGAGATAAACTCTCAAGCTTTGTCTCCCCCTAACCAGAATTGGCCATAAGCCCCCCTCCACCTCCTCCCCTGGATCTGTCCGTACCATCCAGGCACAGTGCGACTCCTCAAGTACAACCAAGTAACTCAATGGTAGCTCCAGTCACACAAAGGCCATGTTTACTCCAACAGTGGTGGGACTTCGACAGGAGGAGGCCCTCCCGGAGGAGATTCCCGTGAGGATGAGAACTTGGGTGGAACTAGCAATAGATTTGGCCTAGCTCTAGAATTTCAATCCACTCCCCCAAACTTCTTCATGTCATGCCCTCTTTCTAGAGATTCAGTTAAAAGGAATCTTATGGAAACAGCTATCTATCATTTACTAAAGATCCAAGCCATTCAACCTGTGGTTCTAAGCCAGCGTGGGCAGGGTTTTTACTCACACCTTTTTGTTGTTCCAAAGAGTTTGGGGGGTTGTGGGGTGGAGAACAATTTTAGATTTAAAATCCTCAACCGTTTCTTGGTCTCTTGCAAGTTTAAGATGACCACCTTACAATCTATTTTGCTCGGCATTAGACAGGGTGACGTCCTAATGTCAATAGATTTAACGGAGGCATATTTACATATTCCAATTAGGCCAACCCACAGCAAATTCCTCAGATTTTGCTACAACAGTCAACATTTTGAATATGTAGCCCTTCCCTTTGGCTTAGCCTCTGCCCCCTAAACCTTTACAAAGGTTCTCGCAGCCTTGGCCACCCATCTCAGAGGTAGACCTGTCCGACTACAGTGCTATCTCGATGATATCTTAATTTTGTAAACTTCCAATCAGACGGCAATTAGAGACACTCAAATCACATTGCAGACACTAGAACAACACGGCTTCTCAATAAATTGGACAAAGAGTCATTTAACACCATCGACTCGATTGCTCCACCTGGGGACAATTATAGACACAGTTGAAGGAAAGGTTTTCCTGTCACCAGATAGACAAAAGAACATACTTCAATTAGCTACAGAGATCAGAATGCTCAAGCGGGTACCCTTGGCCAATCTCTCCAAATTACTAGGCAAAATGATCCCATGCATATCTATTATTCCCTGGGCTCGGCTCCACACTAGATCACTGAAGTGGTTCCTCCTTCTGTACCAGTGGTCAGGAAGAAGCAACTCCAAGTCCAGGTCAGTATACCATCGAAGGTCCTCATCTCTCTCCACTGGTGGACCAGGCCAATCATCAACAAAGGTTGCCAGTTCAAAGAGCCCGACAGACTTACCATCACAACAGATACCAGCCTGTTTGGATGAGGAGCACACTATCAGTCCCTCACAACCCAAGGCCGTTGGTCCTCCATAGAACAGTTGTGCAGCATAAACTGCAGTCCATCTGGCTCTTCGCAGCTTCTTCCCACAGATTTGGAACCAACACGTGCTGATCTTGACCGATGTGACAACAAAGGCCCACATAAACAAGCGGGATACGCATTCGAAACAACTCATGCGGGAAGCGGAGCAACTGTGTCGTTGGGCAGAAAACAACCTGCTCTCCATCAGGGCAGAGCACATATTGGGTCTGTCAAATACCCAGGCAGACTGGTTAAGCAGGGCTATGGTCGATCAATCGTAGTGGCGCCTGCACCCAAGTCTATTTCAAGAGGCGGTTCGGAGATTCGGTCAGCCAGTCATAGACTTGTTCGTTTCACCCCTCAACTCTCAGCTCCCGAGATTCGTGTCCAGATACCCTTCACAAGGTGCAGAGAACATCAATGTGCTCTGCTGCTGCTGGCCTCCGGGTCTTCTTTACTCATTCCATCCACTTCCAGTGATTGCCAAAGTCATCCAGAAGCTTCTGGAAGAGAGAGTGGAACTCTTGCTGGTGGCACCATACTGGCCCAGGTGGCCGTGGTTTGCAGATCTCTGGGATCTGTCCTTAGCAGAACCATGGAGAATTCCGCCAGATGGAGTCTCGCTCGCCCTCTTCAACATCCAGACCCTCAATGGCTACACCTTGTCGAATGGAGGTTAAGCGGAGATGTCAGAAAAGAGAGCAGTTCTCTAACAAAGTCATTGCCACCATCCAAGCGGCCAGGCGCCCCTCAATAACTTGCATGTACAATGCCACTTGGACTAGTTTTTGTAAATGATGTGTTAAATCTTGCATCGATTCCACCTCTCCATCACTGGCACAAATATTGGAGTTTTTACAAGAAGGACTAGACAAGGGTCTCTCACCAAATACTTTGAGAAGACAGGTAGTGGCCCTGGCCTTGGTCGTTACTTGTGGAGACCTACCATCTATTTCTCATCACCCACACATACGGAGTTTTCTTCGTGGCGCCACAAACTTACGCCCTCTGGTGGTTCACTGTTATCCGACTTGGGACCATAACAAGGTTCTCATAGCACTCACGAAGTGTCCCTTCAAGCCCTTGAAGACTACAAGTCTCCACTTTCTAACATACAAAGTAGTTTTTTGAGTAGCAATAACATCTGCTCGACGTATTTCGGAACTGGCAGCCTTATCGATCTGGCAGACAAGATCTCTGCATCTTTCATTCAGACAGAGTAGTCCTTCGTCCTGACCCTATGTTCATACCAAAAATTAATTCGGCTTTTCACAGGGCACAGGAATTGGTACTCCTGAACTTCTGTCCGAAGCCAACTCGGGCTAGAACACCAATGGCATCGACTTGATGTAAAACGGGCCCTATGTATGTATATTCACCATACAGCGCCTTTCAAAAAAATGAAAAATCTTTTCATTTCGTTTCAGCCCACCACTCAACGATGCAAAGTCTCATCTTCAACAA